GAAGCCCTTGTCAAGAAATTCCAATGGACTCTCATATGAACATTTGAAAATTTCCCTGTTCTGACTTTTTTCTAGTTTCCTGTCTAGAACTGTAATGCTAGTTACTCTTGCTTTTACTTCTCCTTCACATCTCCTATTCACCAGTCAAAGACTTTCTTTTCCCTAGACAAATAAGAGTTGTGCAATTTGGGAGTCTTTTAGATAGACCCACTGAAGGGGTACTCCAATTGCCTCACCCTGTGTCCTTGCTTAGCATGGAAGAAGCCAGAGCAGCCTGCAACCTGATTCCCTATCCGCAAGCTGGGTAACCACTTTCAGAGGACAGTGTGATAAGAGTAGGAGGCAGGGGGTCTGGAGAGATGCCTCAGCGGTTAAGAGCACTGACTGCTCTTGCAGAGGACCCAGGGTTTTGATTCCCAGCACCCACATGGTGGCTACGAACCGTCCTTAACTCCAGTTCCAGGGGAATCTGAAGCCCTCTTCTGACTTCTGTGGCATTGCACAACACAGGTGCATTCACATACATGTAGGCAATACACTCATACATATAAAATAAAAATAATAAGTAAAAATATCAAAAAAATTAAAAAAGAATAGGAGGTAGGAATTGGCTCAGCAGTTAGTGTAAAAAGACCCCAAAGAAAAGTAGCCAGTTCTTGGCTAAAAGTCAAAATGTCCTTGGACCTCTTAGCAACATACTCCATTCCAAAAGCCAAAAATGTGGAAAGTATTTAGGAGCTCTTATCTAATCCTTAAAAGATTTTAGGGTTACCTCTTCAGAGGGGGTCATGTTAGAGTAGCAAAAAGCCCCCTTTAAATTAAGTAGAGAGGAGGAATTCTTATGCTAATTCTCAATAAAATTTTTTAAAATATTTTATCTATTATTTTTATTTTATGTTTATGAGTGTATTGCCTGCATGTATGTGAGTCCACCCATGTCGTATTTTTATTTTATGTATATGAGTGTATTACCTGTTTGTATGTTAAGTGCACCTGAACCATACAGTGCCCATGGAGGCCAGAAGGGGGCGACAGATACCCTGTAACTGGAGTTACAGATGGTTGTTGGCCACCATGTGGTACTGGGAATTGAACCCCTGTCCTCTGCAAGAGCAGCCAGTGCTCTTAACCACTGAGCCATCTCTCCAGCCCCACAATAAAAAAGTTTTAAATTAGTAATTCTAAATTAGTAATTCTAGTCAAAATAACTTTTTCACTGTGTTCAGAATAGTTTTAAATTTGTAGTCCTTATCCTCCCAAGTAGCTACAATTGTAGGCATGCATCACCATACCTGGATTAAATATATCTCAAAGGCTTCTTCTTTCTTTCTAGACAGGGTCTTATATGGCCCAGACTAGCCTCAAAATGATGTGTATTTGAGGATGATCCTGAATTTCTGATCTTCCTTGCCTCCACCTCTTAAGTGGTAGGATCACAGGCATGTGCACCATGCTCAGCTTCTGCAGTGGCTAGAAATTGAACCCAGGACTTCACACATGCTAGCAAGCATCCCTTAAAGGCATTTTCATTTAAATAAAACCACTCCCTCGTTTTAAGTTGAATTTGTTTAGAAAAAAAATAAATTTCTATCACATTTTATACAAAAAAAATCTTAACATTAAGCATCAATTATGCGTTTCATTTTATTCTTATTGATAACTATTTATATGATTGAAATACTAATAACTCAGCTAAATTCCATTTGTCTTAATAAAGTCTTAAAATAGTCATGTTTTATAGTAAAACACTTAAGGTCATTTAAAGTATTCTGTTTATAATCAACAAAATGCAATGACACTTTAAAAGTTGAATACTCTTGGGGCTGGAGAGACGGCTCAGGGGTTAAGAGCACTGACTGCTCTTGCAGAGGACCCGAGTTCAATTCCCAGCACCCACATGGCAGCTACGAATCGTCCTTAACTCCAGTTACAGGGGAATCCGAAGCCCTCTTCTGACCTCCGAGGCATTGCAATAAAAATATAAATAATTTAAAATTTTTTTAAAAGTTGAGTACTATTTAATTAAAACCTCATGAAAATTCAGAATCTTCTTTTTGCCAAGTATTATCAAATTTTCTAAAACATTTTATGACTTTATCTCTTATAATGTGCATTTTCTAAAGAAGGCTATACTCTTAAATATAGTTCCTATTGAAGCTTTCAATAAATAATTGCTATAGTCCATATAATGGAACTAGCATGTTAAGGAAGACAGAAGACATATACTTTGGAGTTAAAAGAAGTAGATGGTAGACAAATCACTGGCTGAAGTGCTGCAATAAGCAGTTTATAAATATGGGGTTCTTATAAGAAACTCTCAGGCCTGGAGAGATGGCTCAGCAGTTAAGAGCTCTGGCTGCTCTTGCGGAGGACCTGGGTTTGGTTCCCAGCACCCACATGGCAGCTAACAACCATCTGTAACTCCAGTTCCAGGGGATCCATTGCCCCCTTCTGGCCTCCACAGGGACTGTATGGTTTGGGTGCACTTAACATACATGCAGGCAAAACACTCATACATATAAAATAAACATAAATCAAAAAAATTTTTTGAAGAAACTGTCCTGCTTTTGCCTCCTTTCTCCTTCCAGCCTGTCTACGCTCTGAGGCATCCAAGCAGGCGCTAGGCTTTATGCCGTGATTCTTGAACTTAACTCCACCCTCCTTCTGCCACAAGGCAGTTACATTATACAGGATTTATTTGAACGTTGCCTTAGAACTACGCATCCAGGCACTGGGCGAGAGTCTGCAACTTCGGGTCATACTAATGCAATCTAATGTCAGCAGGAGTAGAGGCCCCCACTCGTCTGTCCTCATTCTTCCCCGACACCTCTTCTTCTGTTAGCAACAGTATCTTCCTCAGAAAGGAAAGTACAAAAATGCTAGACATCTATGCATATGATAAATTCTAATGCAGCACTATTTGAGGCACAATTTTCTCAGGAACCCTCCAAAATGAATGTGGTTTCAGAATGATCTTAACAAGCAACTCTCAAGAGGTGATAGGTGAATCTGGCTTGTGAAGTGATCCTGCATATGTAGGAAGTCAGGGCCAAAGTAATTAGTCATCTATTCCCAGAAAAGCTTAACAAACTGCGCTTTCTCATTAGACGCTGTGGTTCACATTAATTACTAGAAGCCCCAAAAACAAAGCACAGTAATAAAAATACAAGCTTCCAAGTCAAAGCCATAGGAAGTAGGATTGGTTCAAAGTCTTAAAAATCAGGTTTGATGACTGTCTCAAGAAAACAATCACCACTTCCCATTTCCATAGTGGATTTCCCGGGCGTGGTGGCACACACCTGTAGTCCCAGCACCCGGGAGTCAGAGGCAGGCGGATCTCTGTGAGTTCAAAGTCCTAAATGCATATTCTTTAAATCTGACAAAAAAAAAAAAAAAAAAAAAAAAAAAAAAAAAAAAAAAAAAAAAAAAAAAAAAACATAGTGGAGTTCCCCAGGCTTCCACATCTCAAGTCACTGTAAGCCATCCTTACAGAGAGATGGCATCTTTATCTACTCTCCAGAGCCAAGAATAAAGGAGGCAAAATTAATCAAGATCCTATTTTGATACAATATTTAAAAATACAAAAATTAACACAAAAATTATGTAGTCAAAAAAAGTGAAAATTTTCAACCAAGTTTTTCACTGACTTCTTTTGCTTCAAGTTCCAACATACCCCACAAGCCTTTACCTTTTCAAAGGCTAAGAAACTAGTTATGATTAGGGCACATTCAAGATTGAAAAGCAGCCAGGCGTGGTGGCACATGTCTTAATCCCAGCAGACAGGAGGCAGAGGCAGGCAGATCTTGAAAGCCCTCGAAAGAAAAGAGAGAGAGGAGAAAGAGAAAAAAAAAGTAAAGAAAGGAGGGAAGTAAAAGAAAGGGAGAGAGAGAGAGAGGGAGAGAGAGAGAGAGGCCTGCTGGAGAGATGGCTAAGTGGTTAAGAGCACTGGCTGCCCTTGCAGAGGACCTAGGGTCAGTTCCCACCACCCACATGGTGGTTAATAACCATCCATAACTCCAGTTCCAGGGGGTCTGATGCCCTTCTCTGACCTACATGGGTGCACTTACATACATGCAGACAATACAGTCATACACATAAAATAAAGAAAAATAAAAAAGAGAAAATGACTGAATAGCTCATCAATGCAGGAGTAGGGCCAAACAGTGAGGTGCTCTAGTTGACAGAGGGAAAATCTCTGCTAGAGTTTCAGGAACAAAGTAACTCATTTCTCTAAAGTAGTATTGTTCTTAAATAATCTGAACACTGAACCAAACTCAAGCCAAATTTACAAGCAATGTAAACTGAGATAAAAGCCGATAAAAAGTTATTTAGATCATGGATATAATATATTTCTGAAACCAACTTCTTTGTATTTTTATTTATCTTTTGAAACCAAAAATTTGAAATGGATACTTACTGATGGAAGAGTAAGTGTCTTGAAAGACCCTAAAAGAAAAACAGGGAAGAAAAGCAGTATGTCATAATTTAAATAGAATGCTAAAACACAGGACTTACAAACTCTCTTAATACTCCTTTAGATGTTGATGGAATCACAAACTTACTTGGCCAAACCAAAACACCTTTATTAATGCCCAGAATAACCTGGAAATTGTAACCTATCCTTGTGCCAAAGACCAAGAGCAGCAGAAGCCCACGAGCTCTGCCCCCCTTTGCCCCATCCCCTCTTGTTGCCATCGTTGTTGCTGCTCTTGTCGCTGTGTTAAAGTTACACATGTCTGAGGGACACCTCAGAGAGCACACAGGGAAAATCTGAGGTTCGGGAGGGCTTGGGGTGCTTTGTTATTGCTCTGATTTACTTGAGGGTCGTAGTGCAGAAGACTGAACCAGGGCCTCATGCTGCCTAGCATGTGCTCTGCACTGAGCTGCAGCCCAGCAAGGGTCACTATTCCTATTCTCAAGCACTCGTGACAAAGGAAGGCATTAGTCATGTCAGGGTGAGCTAGGACTCATAAGTGACTCATGAGTATTAGGGTGGTACAGACTTCTCATGTACAGTTTCTAAACATAGAACGGACAGTTTAACTCAAGCCACTTTCTCATCATATTCATTTATTTCAGGGGAAAATGGTTTCAAGTTAAAATTTGTAAACTGCTTATCCAAATTCCCCATCAGAGATGATGATAAGCCCTGTTTGTTCATTTAAGAACTATTTGTTGGAAGCTGGAGAGATGGCTCAGCAGTTGGGAGCACCGGCTGCTCTTGCAACAGGACCAGGTTTGATTCCCAGCACCCACATGGAGGCTAGCAACCATCCATAACTCCAGTTCCAGGGGTATCTGATGCCTTCTGACTCTGTGGGCACTGCATGACACGGGTGCACTTACACACATAATACACTCATACACATAAAATAAAAATAATCAAAATGTTTTTTTAAAGAACTATTTATTGCATCTAGAGAGATGGCTCAGTGGCCCTTGCAGAAGACCCACGTATGGTTCCCAGCACCCATGTCAGGTGGCTCACAACTGCCACTAATTCCAGCTCCAGGGGATCTGCTTCTGGCCTCCATGGGCACCTGCACTCAAATGCCCACAGACATACACAATTTTAAAATTAAAAATAAATATAAAGAAAACTATTTATTAAAGGAACCACAATGACCAAGAGAGATGTAGCCCCTTCTCCTCCTAGAAGCCTTATGTGTCCACCATGTACAGCAGAGAGGTGCAAGAATATGGCACAGCACAGAGCAGGAAGTAAACAACAGGCCTCTCAAATCAGACGACATGGTTCCAGCGTGAATTTGCTCTTTTCCAGCCGGCCTTGAGCCTGATTCTCCAGCTCAGCATTTCCATCCATAAAATGAGGATATTAATAGTCATCCCAAACCCATAAAGTGGTTTGTGGGGAGGTTGTTGATGCCTGCAGTCTACAGAATGGTGAATGGAAGCAGGAAGCACTTGATACATGTCACAGTGCCAGAAGGCTCAGACATGTATTCATCGGGATATTAGCATACCTCTACAGCGGCATTCTCCAATGTTTATGACAAAGCTTCCCATCAGTGAAAGTGTGCAGTGTACATTACCACTGTCAGTCTACGTTTATAAAGCTATACACATATACTTTCTCATCCAAAATATTAAATATTGGGCCGGACATGGTGGCACATGCCTTTAAACCCAGTGGAGGCAGAGGCAGGTAGATCTCTGTGAGACAGAGCCCAGCCTGGTCCACATGGTGACTCCAGGGGCTGGGACTAGGGAAACCCTGTCCAAAAAAACATCACTCTCTCCCAATAGCCTCAAGAGAATATGTTTGCAGGAACAGCCAGACAGTTCATCACCATTGATTATAACCCAGCATAGATCAGCTTATCTAATGATTGCCACCATAGGAGGTGATAGCACTCAAGATGCAGGAGTTTGACCTAACAGGACATTGGACAAGATATGTTTTGAGACAGTAAAGAAAGAGCAGTGACTTACATACAAGGAGACTGAAAATGGGAAGCACGCTGAAGGGATGGTACCTGGAGGAAATGATGCTGGTAGCTAGTGTGGTGAGGTGAGAGGAATTAGTCAGGGGAGGAAGAAACAGGGCAGAAAATGCCCAGCAGGGCAGGGCACCAGGACCCTCCCAATGCCAGAACCAGCTGGGCTGAGCCCAGGGCCAGGAACTGTGGCGATAGTGAAACTGGGCCACATTATGGGCGCTTTATGGGCAAAGGGGGGCCCTCACTACTCTTATCACAGGTGACACTGTTTTCCCAGCACCCTGAATTAGTATTTGTCCTAGATCCATTTTTGTTAGTAAAATGTTATTATTATGAAATAGGTCTAATTCGACTA